AAAAGATTAAAAATAATGTTCTTAATTAAACAAAGAACAAAAAGAAAGATACAATAACACTAGGAACCAACGGTCAACAAAAAAACTATCTAAAAAAAATAAATAAAAACAGTTTAAACCCAAAAAATAGAAAAAGATAGTAAAAGGTAATAAAAAACAAAAGGAGATAGATAAATACCGTAGTGAGGAATAATATGAAATACAAAAAAAAGAAAGTATTTATAAATATGTATTGTTTATTAACACGTTCATAACTTCGCGATTTTGTGATCACGTTAATACGTACCAATTTGAGACCGTGTCCAGAGTTATTTTTTTGATGCATTTAAGGTTTGTAGTTTATAACAATATCAAGAATACAATTTGTACAATATGTAGATCAAATATGTAATTGCGATGCTAACCCTTGTTACAAAATAAACTGAATTATATCGCGGGCCAAACCACCCCCTGTCGGTCATATGAATATTTTCATAGTGCATATCAAATTAATAGCTTGTATGTATGTTATTACTTCATATAGTGATAGGAAAACAATTGCTAGTAATAGACAATATAATAATTATTTTATGCATTCAAATGCATCATTGATATATCCATATGAAATAGCCAGGATGGCCCTCAAAGTACTGTTACATGTTGAAATGTGCCACAGCTACAGCAAAATGATCTTCACCAATCAGATAACATTACCTCTATAAGTGATTTATGGTCTTGATAACATATCTGTCAAAAGCATTTTATCAAAAGCAAAAGTACTTTTTTTTTAAAAAAAAAAAGTCAAATTTCAATAAAAAGTTAAGTATAAGGATCTATTATTATAAGATAAAATAAATAATGAAAATGCTACTGAAAGTTGGCTATTTTCATATGCATTACTAAAAAAATTATTTCATTTGTTCATACTTTTAATAGATTTCGAAAGTATTCAATAGAAATCTTAAGGTGAAAAACTAGATTATTGACAATTTAAATTTTAATTCTAAAACAAATACCTACTGATAAGATCATTAATATTTTTTTATTTAAAATAAAATATTTGTTTTTTTAAAATATATAATTCAAATAACCTAAATGATTTTAAGACAATAAGTTTATGATAAAACTGAAAAAACTTTATTATAGGTCTTCATAATAACTAATTTGATTAATATGTTTATGAATCAGATTTTTTTATAATTAAGTGAATTAGTAATCCAGAATGATGACTTTTTTTTTTTTATAAATCATATAAAGTTAAGAACTTCAAAAACTTTATAATAATTCAAACCTATAATAGGTTTATTACAATTTCAAAATTTATAGTAGTATTTGAATATTATTATAGTAAGAACCTATAATAGAGTTTTTTTAGTTCTTTCATAATATAAAGCATTTACTACATAAACATCTATATTACAAAAATTCTAATATTTCAAACTTTAAATTTTTTATTAAATTTATAAATAAACATTTCTGGTAAATATTTTTATATTTCTTTTTTATTTGAAATAAATATTTAACAAATGCATTATTGGCTATTCTTTTTTTATTAAATGAAATACATTGTTATTTTTTTTATCAAGTGAAATATATTGTTTATTTATTAATTTTTTATATTAATAAATATATTGTTTTTGAAATAAAAAGTATTTATAACTTGCTATTAATATTAATATTATATTACTCTTTTTATTATATTAATTTTATATCATCTTTTACAATATATAAATAATTATCTTTTTGCCTATTTACTTTCATGCCAACCAGGACTTAAACAACTATATTAATTTGTTAGCTATTCAAAAGTAACATTCTTGATATATGATATATTCAAAATTAATTAGCTAAAATAGTAGACAATAAAGATGTATAATATATTACATTCACAATATGTAAAAAATCATAATATATGTTATATGAATTAATTATATATTAATAATTTTGATAGCAATAGATTATCTAATTAAAGCATTATTAGTTTTTTTTTATTATTACATATTTATAATATAATTTCAAATATCAATTTATTTGAATATAATATTTTTTTTGAACAAGATACAATTTTGATACCAATAGATTATTTTATAAAAGCATTATTATTATTATCTTTTTATTATTATTATGTATTTATGATATAAGTTCAAATATCAATTCATTGAATCTAATATTTTTTTTAATATTAATTAACAGAATTACATTTATTAAAAGTAATTATATAACTATAAAGAAATTAATAAAATTAATTTCTAATTTATAAAGAATTATGTTCTATTTTTTTTTTTAAGTTTATACCAAATATCCAATATATTATTAAAATTAAATTCTGCTTCATTCACTTCTTCTAATTCAATTATCATTAACATATTTAGAGTATCATTATTTAAAGTAGTTTGTAGTTTAGTCTTAATTAAATTTTATTTAAAAAAACCACATTTACATTCTATATTAAAAAAAGAAATACAATATATAATTGTTAATAGTTTAATAAGATTCAAATATAAGCTAGAATAATATCTAAATAATAAAATAAGTAATTTGTTTATTAAAAGATTTTAATAATCTTTATATATAAGTTTTTTAAAAAAAGCTATTCTGTATAAGTATTATTAGAATTAACTATTGTATATGAAAATAAATTAAATTGTAGTTTTCTATAAACATTTAGTAACAAATCCAATTCTTTATTACCAAATTCTAACAGATTTTTATGATTTAATAATTCATCAAATAATTTAAAAATTGTTATTCCTTAAATTGTATTGCATGCAAATTTGATTACATTTTTTTTAAAAAAATTAATTTTTATAATAAAATTTTAATAATTAATTTTAGCAATATATTTTCTATGTAAAAAACATTTTTAAAATTCTACTTTATAAACTTAGTTAAGAAATTTTTTTAACTTTATTAAAAATCTTTTAATTAATTAAAATTTAAAGATTGTATAATATAAAAGTTTATTATTAAAATATTTTTTAGATTTTCTAAAATTTCATATGTTTTTGAAACTAAAAAAATTTTCGCTCTTAAGACAAGTATTAATTTTTATATATAAATTATTAAACTTATAATAATTAAAAATATAATTTTTAATATAAACTAAAAAGTTGTATTAAAAACTATAGGTTTAAAATTAATATTTAAAAAGTTTATCATAGATAAACTAAAAAAATATTTTATTAAAATTTTTTTTTAAAATTACACATTTTTGGTCTATAAGCAATCTACTTTTTTTTCTTATAATTTTAAAATAAATACTGCAAATAAGTAATTTTTATTTTCAAATATTATTATACCAAATTTTATTTAGATATTTTAACATTTTAAAAAAATAAATCAGAGCCAAAAAAATACAATTATGCAGACAAATTTGCTTGCAAAAATCTACAATCTAAGAGATAGGTATAATTAGATTAATAAGCAAAAAACATGTAATTGATTATAGAATTTCTGCTTCATTAATCACTAAAACTAAATATGCAGTAATAATAGTTTTTAGCTTTAGTTGTTTTAAAAATTGATGAAAAAAAATTTATATCTTATAATAGTTTAGTTTCTTTAAGGGTAATAATATAAATATTTACAAGTTTTCTTTTTTATGTATTATTATTTAACAACAAAATACTAATGCTAAGACTTTTTAAAAAAACTAATCCAAATTTATAAATCTAAATACATAGTCAATATGATTTTAAACAAAAATAAGTATGAATTATGTCTTTATTAGTAATATTATGTATAGTAAAAACTTAATATAAAGCTATATTTTTTTACAAAAGTCATGTTTTTAATTATCTTATCTTCACAATTATTTTGTTACATTCTATATTTGTAAATTTTAACAATGCCAAAATCAAAATTCAAAAATGTTGTAAAAAAATGTATACTTATACAAAGTAAAAATAATGATGAAAGATTTTTATTTGCAGATCCAGAATATAATAATCTAGAATATAGTAATCTAAAACTTTTAGTCTATGAATCTGATAGCAGTAACAAGAAGAAATTTAATAATAGGAAAACAGAACTTAGTAAAGAAGAAGCTAAATAGTTAGTTTATAAAAATAGTTTATTTTATAATATTCAATAAAATAATAAAGCATCTGGTGATTGGTTATTATATTATTCTGATGGTTTAAAATATACTTAGCAATGTAAAAATATAGAATTATAGGAGGTGGCACAAGGATCAATGAGTTTGAACAATTTTTTTAAACCTGTAAAAAAATTAAAAGTTAAATATGAAATGTCAGACTTAGATATAAGTGATTCAGATATAAAAAATAACAGTTCTATTTTAGTAAAAATAAATAAATTAAATAATAATCTCAAAAATATAAAAAATATGAATGCTTATGAGGAGATGAGATTCTATAGCCTAGTAGTCTAGGCACCTTTCTCTTTATAAACAAAGTCAATAGTTCAATTTTAGCTGAAGACAAAACTCTATAATTTATGAAAGCATATAAATATATATGAAGCTCTGTAGTTAAGTTCATGTAATTAGTACGCGGAGAACCAAGATAATGATGGTTAGACCCAACGTACAGGGCAGGCTATGGCACTCTTCACAGCTGTGAAAACCGAGCTTAAAACAGTGAGTGACCCTACAGAAGATACACAACCCAAATCATTACCAACATCATTAAACTCCTATGATTTGGACACCTGCTATAACAA